CATGCAGTGTATTTTAAAAAAAAAAGAGTTAAATATAAAATATAAAAAAGTGACTTCGTGACCAAAGGAAATACATTTTTTTTATTTTACCCAGAATTATGAAATTAATGAAAATTCGTTCCTTACCAAATCAAATAATTTACAATATTGAAAAAAATTTGAAATATAATTTTTTTTTCATTAAAAATTTCATATTTCATATGGTCCATTTAGTACACCTTTTTGAAAAAAGAGGACCTTAAATAAAATGGCAACCAGCTACAATCTTCAGTTTCATATAATAACAAATTGTTTGTTTATTTTAAATTAAAAATGAGAATACAAAAGAAAAATATGAGAATCAGACCAAGGATAAATAAAATGATGATAGACAGGTGGAAGAAAAATAGAATCTGAAAGCGCCAATGTGTAACTGAGACAGAATCGCACTGTAATCGAATATGATCGATTGGTGATACGCACTAATATGGCAGGGACTTTTTGAAATGAATCAGACCTTCGTAATAGTCAATTTCATCTGTATATAAGGATCGTCTTCTGCATCATTCATTGAAAGGCAACGCCATTCATGACAACTTCATCGTGTAATTTACAGTATAGACACGACGTACAACATGCAGCAGAAATTAAGTAAGGTATTACGATGCTACTCACACTGACAGAATGTGTACACACACACGTAAATGGCGACCAACTCATTTGGAAGTCCACAGTTCACAAATTGACACATAATGAAGTGATCATTAAGGACTAGTTCTCGCCCCAATTTTGGGCAAATAGAACGTCAGGAGTAATAAGGAAGTGCTCCGTCACTCAATTTGGTTTCATTAGGATGGGAAATCAGGGAGAAAAAGAAAATGAGTTCCTCACGTTTAAATTACATCGTCTAACCTGCCTTTTATCTAGTTAACTATTATACTTGATAATATCTGCCTGAACGATGTTTTTCTGGATAAATTAATTTGATTGAACAATTGTAATAATGTACATCCCTGAAAAAAAAGTAAACCTTTAAAAGCCAAGGTTTTGTTGAAACAAAATATGAACCATGTTGAAATTATGTCTAAAATAACAGAATGAATTCATATATAAATATATAAAAATGTGAAAATATATTGTACAAATATTTTTATAGGAATAATTATGGCAATCCTGTTTTCTGATTATGGTTATGGTAACAAAATATTGGAATGAATTTTCCTGTTTTGGTATGAAAATATCATATACAACTTTGAGGATGGTGTTCAACTGAATTTCAAGTCTTGAAAAGCCAAAGTGGTTTTACTTTTATTGATAGTCAAGAAGAAAAGCATTAGAACTAAGATATACATCAGATAGGATAATTGCATATGTCAACACGAATCCTGAGTATCTAAAAACAACTACGGTAATCCAATTTCTGATGATTTTAGAAACAAATTAATTTCCTCTTGAAATGACCGCCAGATTGAAGTGGAGTATTAAGAGCAAACATTGAAGAACTGGGCTCTCAGTCAAATAAACGGTAGCTCACAGCAATCACGCAAGCGAGTTTAAATTCAATAATAGTTGTGAATAAAATAATATGTATAATCAAAAACTCATTAAGTATAAAATTAATGAATGCAAGTTCACATGAAGATAACATTTTTGCCTCAATACTTGTGTCATCCAGTTAAGTAAAATTGGAATGTAATTGGAACAGTCGTTTCTTCAAACACACAGGCATGCTGTCACTTTTTAAAAACTGAATCGATAAATCTCATTTCTTTCGCCAATTTTTTTTTTTTTTTTTTTTAACAATGACAGGTAATTATATTGTGATAGCAAACAAAAAATAAATCATTAAAAATAAAGAAAAGAGTCTGTGAGTGAAACCTGATCTAATGCAATCAACGTGGATCCTTCCTATATTGTGGAGCAGATGACTCTAACGGTCATTAATCAAAATCGTCATGGCAACAGAACTTTAATTTCACTTGAAACACCAATAGTGAGATCTCACATAGACTATAATACAGAATCCCAATTACAGAGTACGCTGAGTGCAATTAAGTTCAAGAAATGAGGCGTATTCACGACAGAATGGCAAATGACGAGAGGCAAGCCGTGAAAGGGATAATAAAATTGTTCAAGCGAAGAAGATTGACAATCTTAAAACAAATTCTGCTCAGAATCAAGTGTGCATGTGTTTATCATGGATTTAGGAAAAAAAAAATTTGAAAGGTTTTTATTTTTGTTTCTAGGCAACTGACTACAAAATTACAAAACATTCACAGGCCAAAACACAGTGTATTGGCAGTTTTAGCATCGATGAGTAAGTTTAAAAAATCCTATCACTACACAGAAATTAAGTAGTACACAAAGTGATAATAATAAAAGTAAAGAGCTTATGATGTAATATGATTGGGACATGCTCATGAGCAAACATTTGGAATGGCCACAAAATATCTGATTTGTCAAAAAAAAAAAATAGTTTATGTCATTTTAGAGTCATATTCCATTCAAATATCAACTTTCTTGCTAATTTTTTCAAATGTTTCATAATTAACAAATTGGTAAAAAATGCGTAAAAAAAATAAAGAAATTAAAAAGTTTTTCAGGATATGTTCCATGACCTTTGACCTACCAAGATAATTTTTTTATTACAGCCCATATAGTAGAGGCAAGAAAAGCATCAAAGAGATGGATTGCACACTGTTTTTTTTTTTCAAATTTAGACTTAAGATAAACCCCTAGAGTAATATTATGTTGCGAGATTGCAGAACAATATTTATTTCTTCTCACTCTTCAATTTCTCTTAATGACCGGCGATGAGCATTGTTGTCACTCTCGATATAAAAATAGCAAACACGATATCATTGACGTGTAAATCAGTGATAACAATTAAATTAATTATTCAAGAATACCATTAGCAAAAATGACTTATAACATAATAGGCGACATTTCACTGACATTGCAACCGTAATTACATGATGACATAAATTCACCGGGGTAATCATGTTGTGAACGGGAACTGTCAAATATCATTCAAATTATTTGAAAAACTGTGCGAACAGAAATAAAATATGAATCTTATTCAAACGATAAGAATGAATCCTACACGTTCTTGAATCAATTCCCCTGACCGAAGGTGATTAAAAAACCAATGGATAAATACAACACGGAAACACTGCTACAGTGTATCTGCTACTTGTACAGCTACTTCACAGCGTTGTCAGATACGAGTATCGACACTGAAACGTCCACTTAACACTCGCAGTAACTTTAATGCGTAAAGGTGTCGAGGTGAAAGAAATTCCATCTCAAAAATAGATGCTACAGCAACCACTTACAAGATTGCCCTTCTAACAAGACACTCGTGTATTAGTCGTAGAGTGGGTTAGCAATAAACGCAACGAGAATTACCATACAATGATAGCTCTAATATATTAGATCGATTCTACGCTCCATTTTCGTGAAGAAATATATAGAAAGACTGATACTAAAAGCGTATAAAAAAAAAAGCTTATCACATAATCATGCGAAATGTAGTTTTAAGTATCAATTGCCTTGCGGGTAATCAACACCATATCTGCATAAAAACCTGCCATTACTTTTTTAAGACCCCATTTTATTTCATGTGACGCCACTGATAGTCTGTCGTATCTTTTTTTGTTTTATTGACCATTTTTGTTTTTTTTGTCAAAAGATAAATATCACAGTGTATAAAATGTCTGATCGTGATAAATATCGTCTTGTATTACTGTTAACAAAAAGGAAACCCAACGACAGTTTTGTTATATACAGTAATATTGATATATGCTTACAATATTAGTTAGGGATGTTTTTTTATCGTCCACAATAAACATATATCTGTTTCTAGTTATGTTCTAACTACTGATTAGAACAATTTAGTTAACAAGAGAACAGTTTTGAAAAAAGAAATACAAAGAGTTTGATGATCACTGCGATCACTTGAAAACATATCCATGATTTTGATTCTATCATTAAGTAGGATTTCCACCGGAAGAATTATAGCAAATAGACGGTATTTATGAGTACTTCAAAGAACGAAAAAGTACGGTGAAATGGATTAATGGGGGTATTACCTTCTGTAATCCTCACCGTGTAATTTCAGTCGGAAAAAACGGAAGGAGAATCCAACTATTTTGAGTACACTCAAAGTCTCGCGATCAGTAGACAGCATCTAGTCTAGGAGAATCGCGGCTGCATGAAAAACAGCCTTTGACATTGAAAGCATCTACGTCAATATGACACTGAGGAATCACGGAGCAATTAGCGACAAAAGTTTTTTTTTTATTATCTGTCACATTGCACGCTGAAGGTTGAACAAGGCAGTGCGAGTAAACGGACTCAGACATTACGGAGACATTCTGTTCAGCGCCTTGACCTGTTCCACACTGATGGGTCTGAGAAACCAACGACTATAGGACTACAGTTCAATTATAAAAACAAGGAAAAGAGCAAGAATAATTATACGGGTAAAAAACAACATCTAGTATATACAGAAAATGATTACATGTAAAACACATAAAGGATATTAGAAAGTTATCTTTCAAGACAAGAAAATAGCTTATCAAAACCTTGTACAAATATTATTGCCGACTGTGTCACGAGATTTTAAATTATATGCAATAGATTTCCTGATTAATGATTACAAGTAGAAGTTTTAATGTTTAAAAGTTATCTTGCTGGAAAATCGCCGAATTGTTTTGGAAGGACTGCCTGTTTATTTTGAAGAATTTGAAAAGTGGGTCGCGTTAACGCCCTAAACAACCATACGTGTAGTCACGTGCGATCACATCAACAAGTGGGTCCCCCGCCAATTTGGTAGACGATCGGATCGTACACAATGTCAGTCAGGGAGCGATAGGATACAATACGTCAGCAGTACCTCTACTTATATCTACACTATAGTCCGAGCTGTCCCAAAGTCCCACATTTTGAAAAATAGACCCCAATGTTGTATTTTAATAGTCCAACTCACACCAGTTTATACCATAGTAGAACTAACTTACCCGTTTCGTGGTCCATTTCGGTTTACCCAGCCCCTGTACGTGGCATACGAGTATTGTAGCGATCAACACAGCGGAAAACCTCAACATGGTACAACCGTTTCGGCTAAGAAACTCGCTTTCTCTTCTCCACTCGAGACGTGGAAGTGAATGACGAATGTTTTTACGTAGCTCGCTAAGGAATGACGAACAACGCGGAAGCGATCAACCCACCAGCTGCGCAGTGGTGTGGTGCATACTAATGAGAGCAGTCACACTATTGGCTGCTACTACGAAGATTAGACCAATGAAATATTTCCTTACATGAGAGGGGAACACCTAAATAATTGGCGTCTCCTGGAAGATAATTATTCACGAATAATAATATTCAAGCTCCCACGCGTTATAATCAGTGAAGTCTCCACTGGATGTACAACATTACGGCTATTATCTGTAATTCAACACAGCGTTCGGGAGTAATTTATTGTCATCAAGAACGCATTATTACAATCAAATCAGTATATCAAGAAGTTTTACCGTAGTAATTTTCTATGCGCATGTCACGATCCCTGGAAACCATTTTCGTCATTATTTCGTCAAAACAGTTTAGTCTGATGTGAGTTTGGTTACGGATAACTGTGTGTGATATTAGGACCATTAGAAACATTTTTTCCTTCACTCAGTTTTGTACTATTTTTCCCATGATGATTTTGTTGTATTTTTTCCACTGTGTGAAATACTTTTTCCTAAGATCCATGCAGTATTTTTTCATGTGAACTTTTCTGTCATCACCCAGATTTCTAGTGGTATACCTCTCACAAGATTAGAACAGTGGGGGTATGTGCCATATAGTGAGTTTTAACAGCATCACATAGGCTGAATGCCACTTTAAATATTGTGAAATCTGTATGTGTTTAACTCTTGCAACTAGAGTGAAAATGAAATGGACGACAAAGTGACAAATTCGTTTATTTAATGCGGATTTACAGCGTTCTAACTCTGTGTTCATGCCATCATTTTATTTTTCCAAGTCATCTGATTTGTGCGACGTGCATTTTGAACTGGTTGCCATAGAGGGCGCACCTCCTTCAAGAGTGTCGTCCAACTTCAATTTCTAACCAATTTTCCACGTCGGGCCAACACTTTACACCAGACAATAATTAGGCAGACGGGTGGTTTAGAGCAAAATATTGTCTTGACAAGAACATAAACTCATACTGGCTATTCTGAGAATTGTTTTTTTGACAATCAAAATGATCACTTGATAAATATGGAAACGCCTGTATAAGAGATTTATATACTGATAGTAACTGGTACTAGTAACTGGTTCTTGATGATGGTACATAACCGCCGTGTTATTCAGCCTCAACTGTTTGTTAAGCACGTTATATACACAAAAGGGGATGGAGTTATTTGTGGAATTCGTAGAGTTCAACATAAAGCTAAATGATTGCAATTAACGTATGACACGACAACAAAATTGTACAGTTGTCAATCCTATTATACATTCACACATTGTACTTTAAAGGGTGGTAGTCGTCGCGCTAACCATGCGCGAGATATATGGGTCTCATATAAACAAAAATGGCAACTTTGGCTGTTGCGCAGATCAACGAACACAAACTGCGACGTTACCAAGCTTTAATTAGGTATTTTTTCGGTGATTGGAAAGTATCGAAGGAGTGACCCCAGTCAAACCTCATAATTGCGATTCCATTAGAAGAGCGCATTGGATTGTGGAAAAGTCAATGTTTATCAACACAAATGTCGCACATGAGCGGCGCGACGACTACCGCCCTTTTAATTTAGTTCTATATTGCACTATGAATGTCTATGCAGGTGGACATGCTCCACTAAAGGAGTGTTGTGTCAGATATCCAAAACCACGTGAGGGACGTCATACAAGGTTATACAATTGTAGCTAGGGATTATTTCAAGGCTCCTGGTGATCATATCAATTATAAGAATACGAGAAATCATGTTAATGTCTTAATTGTAACAGCTAAAACTACATATTTCAAGTCAAATATTGAAAGTAAAAGTGCCAATACTAAAATATGTAGAAATATTCACGTGAGTTCACTCCACGTAATATATGCAAAAATCCGACCATCTTACCTAGAGAACACAAGTAATTTTGTTAGAAATAAACTTGGTACAAGCGATGGTTATCATACTTTTATGATTTCTAATGAGTTTGCCTTGCGTCATTTGGATAATTTAAAACCAAATAAATCCACTGGTGCTAATGGTATTAGTGCTAGATTGCTGAAGTTTGTATTTGTCAATCCTTGACTAAGATCTGTAATTTATGTATCTCAAGTAGAGATTTTTCCAAATTCGTGGAAACTGGCAAAGGTTACGTCTATATTCGAGGATGGAGAGATGAAAAAACAAAACAAATATTTATCGCCCCACATATGTATTGCCAGTGGTTTCCAACATTTTTTGAAAAGCACATTTATAATACTCTTTACAAATACTTAACTGATTATGGATTATTGGGCAGCAGCACAGTCATTCACGTGAGACTGCCCTCAGTAGGTTGGTGTAAATTTGAACAACATCCGTACAGAAGGGCGACTTACTAGGATTAGTAATTTTATTAGACCTACGTTAAGCTAGCTGTACACCACACAATTTTACTCAAGAGATTATCATTATACCAATGTGAAGTCAAAGCTGTTACTTTGCTCAAATCATACTTTAACAGATCGATACCAATCTGTCAATTTCAAGGGTGTCCACTCTGAAAATATACCTATTACTACTGGGCTCCCTCATTAGATATATTCTACGTCCTTGCTATTATTTCTTACATTTATCAATGACCTGCCAATTGAAGTTTGTCATACAGATATTGATATGTATGCGGCCACTCCACATTGCACACATCATCGAAAACTTTATCTGAGCTGAATACTGAAGATTTCAACATGATATCTGGGTCACGGTGGTGTGATAAGAATGAAATGGTTATCAACACTGAAAAAATTAAATCAATGTCGATTACAAAAGGTTGCTTGCTGTTATTGTGAACACAATTTTTAGTTGAAAGGACCACATTAAGAAAGTTTGTTGAAAAGTTAATGCTAACGCTAAGTTTAACGCATTAAAAAATATTACAGCTCTCTTATCTTTCCTATTCTTTCATATTGTTGCTCCAGTTTGGCGCTTGTTATCAGATGTGTCAAACCTATTTCAGTTACAGAAACGTACGTCTCGTCCGATTCTTGGTGTTTCACAGACACTCATTTAAAATCTTTTTTAGATTCCTTCGTTGGTTACCATTATATAATCTGTTCCATTTTCGCCTAGCAACTCCAGTTTTTAAATCACTGAACGATTAAGCACTTTCATATATGAGAGAAATGTTCTCGTATACTTGAGATATGCATACAATTAACACCAGATCAGCAGTTGCCAATGATCTTCATATCAAGGCAGGACCAGGTACACAGGAAATTAGGCAATTACAATTGATGTCGTATTTTGGCACATTTTTAGTTCTTTCTTTTTAATTTGGACCAAACACGTGTTTGTAAAAGGATCATATCAGGTGACTAATAGAAGGATCCAGGCAACCGAATTCCAAGATATTTTCTTTCTTAAAGCGGGAGGGTCGTCCTAAAGTCTTGTGATTGGTTGTTGATAAATGCTGAACAGGCCGCGCTTCCAACGGTGTCGTGCGTTCGGACTAACCGTTAGGAATTCCTAAATGGAGTCAATTTGTGTAGTTTTCTTGATTTATTCTGCAGATATCGGTAAAATGTAGGTAAGGCTTTGGCGAAATTCGAAGGAGCAACTAATATTCTTCAACCTGGTATTTTTTTTACATTTTATTTTTTATTTTTTTTCGTCTGTTTTTTCGAGTTTAAAAAATGTGAGCTGGCTGGAGCCTTCATCCCTTGTCTATTTCTTACACTAGATACCAGCCGATACCCCCCCCCCCCGCTCATAGAGACTGCGTATTACAGTTGATTATAGTTCCTGGGCTCCCTGTGGTGTGACGGGGCCATAAGCGATGATAACAACAGCAATATAAAGTCCCACGTACATACGTCAAATGGAATCTCGGATGTGTTCAAATGCTTATGCGGGGTTCAGAAAGGTTCCATTTTGTGGGCTTTATTATATGCATTATTTATTAATGACCTTGGCGAGCATCTACAGCAATCGATTCTCTGGCGTATATGTTGATTTGTTAGACAATATTTTACCTTCTATTTGCAGATGATTTGATTTTGTTTAGCTCCAACGCAATTGGATTACATAGACTATTAAATGGCTTGTCAGAATACTCGGCTAAATGGAAACTTAAAGTAAATACAAATAAAACCCAAATCATATCTTCAGGAGAGATGATACCTTGAGGCATTACGTGAGATGGTACTATAACAGAGAAATACTTTCAGTCGTATCTTCCTTTACTTACTTTGATATCCCATTTTCTTCTAGTGGCCGTTCATTTATGGCTAAAAAAATCTGATGAAAACAATGTTGCTTTGGAACGTGTTTCATCTGAATATAGTTCCATTGACGTACAAGTTTATATGAATACCTATGACTGTAAGATATTACCAATATTAATGTAAATTTGAGGGTTTGATGGCGCGGAAAATGTCGAAATGGCGCAACGAAAATTTTGCAAATATGTTTTGAATTTGTTTATTTGTTCATTAATTTTTTTGGCTGGACATTTTGAAAATGAATACAAACCGTTATGTTTACCAGTGTTACCAGCATCGATATATCAAAGCAGAAAAGAATGTTAAATATTGGGCCCAACAAATCAAAAAGTTGTTGTTCCCTCATGGCTTTGGGTTTGTTTGGTTGAATCAGGGAGTTGACGATGTTAAAGCGGGGAGTCGTCACCTGCGCATGCGTCAGATGGCCATAGCGTGTCACTGTTCACTGTTTGTACACAAACAGTTAGTACTATACCTTCCATGATACAAACAAGCGTCTACCCATGAGCCTTTGCGTTTTAGCATGTGTTGTTATCGTCGTTTGGGACTCAATTCCCCCGCGTGCGCAGGTGGCGACCCTCCCGCTTTAAGTACTTTTGCCACTTTTCAAGCAGAAAATTCGCAATATGTATATTCAATCATGGGCCACAGATAATTAAACTTGTCAAGTACCAGGAATTTAATAAGTTTTTGTTGTGAAAAATATTCATCTCTGATTAATTATGACGATAAGCTGAGTCATATTTTATGCCAGTTGAGATCATCATCACTCAACCTTCGG